GACACGTACACTGCCTTCCACAAAACCGGCACTTGGCCAGCAAGTGTTACCAACGCAAGCTTTGAGAAAATGGCTAAAGCTGCCCTGCAGCGCTGCACAGAGCCAGCTTGGATGTACCACACTGCAGCCCAGGTAAATCACCTGCAGGTGACAGAGTCAAAGCTATAAGCCTGAGGGTCAGTCCCAAGCACAGCATTATGCAGAAGCTCATGTGGATTATCACTGAATGTTCCAGGAAATCCAGACTACTCAAAGAGCACTCACAAACACAGTCACTCAACTGTTGTATTAATTATTCACTAGGAATTAATGTCTGGGCTCTACTCATTAATGCCCCAGAACATACTGTTCAATTCTAGAGTACCTCCTACGGTAAAACATTGTAAGCACAATAGTGTCCTGCAGAAGATCCCACATTGACTACCTCTTTCTTTCATATGGCCAGTGATCTGTTTCTTATGTCACAACTTTATTAAAAATACAACCTGAAACCACTCAAAATGCTTTTAAAACATTGTAATCACCCTTGTGCCTTACACTATTAGAAGATAAAAAGGTATAAAAATAATCATCACCAGATATTTGTAGTATTCCTAAACACCGTGGAGGAAATAACAGCATCAGCTTAATCATCAGTCAAACCTCTCCTCTTTCAATAAAATCATTCTGTATCTAATGATACCAGCACCGCTGTTGGCATAGGATGATACTAGTCAATGTATGATCTTGGCTCAATTTTTAGACATTTGGATCACCTATTGCAGCCATGGAAATTGATGAAGCTCTAAACCATTCTCCAAATAAGTTTCTGTGTGAAGGAAAAGTTGCACCAACTGAATAATACAAAGCTGCTATAAAAGCTGAAGTTCTATTTAAGTACTAAATACAAAGTGGTGGAACCTAGCTTACAGCTTTTGAAAGACAGCTGTGGATACGTACCCAGTGACTACGTATCGAAGTAATACAAACAGCTCTTCACCAAAAGTAAAAAACACACACACACACTCCCAGAACACCACCATCTTAAATTAAAGGTCAACACTGACCATGCTTTTTCCCCCAAGATTCAGCTCCAAGAATGTTCCATCCATTAATCAATATAAATTATGTCTTTCTAGGTATTTGCTAGTATATCTCTCATATTCATAGCACAAAAAGTTGCAAACAAAAAGTGTAAAAAAATAAATATGCATTAGTTCTTACAAAATGCCTCTGACCATGGTGGTACCACCCCATTCTTATAGTTGATGAATGCTTGCATAAAAAGTGTAGCCAGATAATTTACTCAGAATCACACAGAAAAGTCTACGGCAAGAACAACAATTGAACCTAAAATGCTGGTGGGTTTAGCTGCGACATTATCCTTGGATTCTGAAAAATCACAGTGATCAAAATGAAATTTAGATAATAACAGGAGTATTAGATGTTTGAGTTCAGAAGAAAATAAAAAGCAATCCCATTTGCAATTTCTATCAGGGCTGCTAAA